GACAGATTTCCCCACACGTGCACACACTCCCGACCCTGGCTCTAGGCAGCTGGGCCATTGCACTGCAAACCAGGTGACACATCCAGTAGATGTCAGCATGCTGGTCTTCCCAGACCTGGCTGTGTCAATGGAGGCCGTTGGAGCTGAGCAGATAAAGAGATCCAATCGTGGCTGTGGCCAGCCACTTGACTGTGGTTGGTCGACAGTTCTTATGAAAGTGGTTGCAGAAGCTTGAGGTTTTGAGATAGCCAGGGGTGGCCGGAGAGCAGGGTACTGTGTATTATAGCTGGGAGATGCTAGGGAGGGCAGTCTCTTTGTGGTTCAAGGTCTAGCCCTCTGCCTGGCAAGACGGGGCCTATGATGTGTCCAGGGGGAACGGTGTTCCTGTCAATGGGTCCAGGTTCTGGCCAATGTATAGTACCAACCTATTCCCCGACCCCGAGGGTCAAGCCAGGCAAAGTCTGGATGACTGTATACATTCCACAGATATTCAGTCGAGCCCCGAGAATCATTGCATGAGGTATTTAAGTTCCCTAGAGTAGCAAGCAGACATGGCCTGGGCCTTTGTGTCTAGGCCCTGGAAGGCCACCGCTGGAGGGGGTGGGCAGAGGTGTGGACTAGAGACCCTGGGGGTGCTTTGTTCTCTGTTACTGAGGTTCACTCTGGTTCAATGACCCAGGACTGCCACATCCAGGCCAACATAAACAGGAGGGCTCAGAGAACCAGGTCTGAACGACGATAATTTTGGAGACCTTCCAGGTGCCTAGCTCTGAGTGGTCCACACTCTTAAACTCCTTGTCCTACCCATCCCTTGATGTCCATCACTGCCTTGCGGATAGTCCCAAGGGAGCATCACAAAGGAGACAATAAAACAACAGAGCAACGGGCTGATTCAACAAGCATTGCTGAATGCGTGCTGCAGACCAGGGACTGTGGTGGCAGTCTACGCTCTCCCAAGGACTCTCTAAGATAGGGTTGACATGATTTCTGTCTGACAGGGAGGAGGGTGTCTCTGAGAGGTTGAGTCACCTCTCGAGGGGGTGATGGTGCTGGGAGGGGAATCTAGGGAACCCTGATTCCTCATCCCACATCTCAAGCTTCCCATGAGCTTCCAGGTGGCAAGGGCTGTGGCTGGGGCACAGAGGAAAAGGCAGGAGGGCCATGTCTCACCTCCTCTGGCCATAGGGAAGGGAGAGAGTCCATATTTGCCCACGAAGGACTCCTAGGAGGCAGAGGTCAGACGTGCCGCCAGCCTCCATCCTTCTTTCTTCCATTCTGACACCAACGGCCCTCCCAAGATGCCCTCCTTCTCTTCTGAGCCATCGTGGCCCTGGCAACAGCCCCACTGAACTCACAGACAACTGTCATGATGACGGAGCTAACGGAGTGCACGCCAGAATTTAAAAACGAAACACGAAGGAGAGAATTCTTTGGTCTGAAGTGCCTCTTCTCAGTCTTCCTGGTAGGCACATCTCTCTCTGCTCCTGAGCCCCTCAGCCACAGGGCTCCCTGGCCTCTGCCCTGCCTGGTCAAGGGTGTACAAAGCTCCTTTGGTGCTGATCAGTGCACGGATGACATCATTCTGAGGGCGGGGAAGCCCACCGCCTGTGTGTAGCCTCCCATTGGCCACAGGGATCTTGAATGGGCTTTGCCAGTGGCTCTTCCTTCTTGATGGAATGTCCTGTTCCTGCATCTGAAACAGCTCATTTCATACCCAGCAGTAATGGTAAAACTGACCACCTCCTTCTATTTGTTTCACACACCCTGTTTGCATGGCCCCCTAGCAATCACCAAAGACTGGAGCCAGGCCGGGCCATTTCACCTCCCAGTTCAGCAGAGATGGCTGCCAGAGGGAACTGGGAGGGGAGAGAAACGCTTCCTGCAGGATCAGCCGAGGCCCAGAAACAGATAGAGGATGGGGGTGTGGATGTGGAGGGGTAGGGTCCTGTGGGAGGAGGCAGATGGGAAAGCCAGAGGCCAGCAGACTGAGACCAGGACAGACAGAGACGAGGAAGCTCTTGCTTCTCCCTCATACCACACCCCAAATAGCTGGCCCAAGGAGTGTCCCACGGACCTGCCTTCCCGAGTCTAGGGTATGGGCTCAGGCAACCTAACCCTATGCCAGGGCCCCTTGGGGGTTTGCTCCCATCAGCTTGCCTCTCACCATCCCTGAGTAGCCAATGTGTCAGAATCCCTGGAAGACTAGCCAACGTGGCGAGGCTGGGTGTGTCTCAGACGTCTCTCTCAGGAAGAACCTGTGCGCGATTCACGGTTGCTGAAGGGTTAGAGCCCCTGAGTTGCAGGGACTCTGGGAGGAGAGCATCCCAGGTTACAGCCCCCCACCCTGTCGCCCTGTGGCCCTGTGGTCCAACCACTACAGACTCTGGCGCCCCGAGAGTGAGAGCTGGGAGAAGCACACTTGGGGAGAATTCTCCATAAACTCCTTGCTGTTCCGACTTACAAGGACCCTTGAAGGCAGGGTAGAACGGCTCCTACAGGGTTTCTCTGTGGGAAGCCGACGGCCACATTGTCCTTTGCCGAGCAGCTGGTGAGTCTGAACCACTGACCTTTCAGGCAGCACCTGAGTGTGTATCCACCGTGTCACGGGGACTCCTGGGGGAGTACTCTACACCGTTTGCTAGCACTCTCCTTCCCAGGGGTCTTTGTCCCCTTCTCCTGGAATTGGAACCAGGTTCGGGGGAGGTTGTGGTGTATGCAAAGTCACGCTGCGGGTCAATGACAAGCCACCCAGTGTGCTTTCAGCTGCTGGACAGCCACTTCTGCTAAAGATAAGGCGATCAGACCAGAAGGGCCAAGGCCTTTAACTGGAGCTTGTAAAAGGAGTTGCTGAAATGACCGTTTCAAAAGCAACCGTGGAGGGCAGTGGCGTTGGTGTGGGAGGAGCAGGGGTGCAGGGGTTTGGGTGGGAGGTGGGGCTGCAGAGCAGGGGAGGCGGGCACCAGGAACAGGCCTGCTGGGAGTGTGGAGAAGACCTTGGGGCTGCCCTGCGAAAGGCACGGAGGTTGCCAGCTGAAGAAGGGGCCAGTGCAGCCAGGCTGCAGGGCATCAGGGGTCCTGAGCTGAGTTTTGAGAGAGGAGCGGGTTTTCCAGGCAGACTGAGATGGGGATGGGGTTGAGACCATGGGTCACCAGTCACGCTCCATCACCTTTTACTCATTGGGCTGCTAAGTGCAAGGGCAGCAGTCCCAGGCTACGAGCTGCTCCATGGAAGAAAGACAGGGCTTTCTACCCCCACAGAGAGCCGCAGTCCCGGGTCGCACAGGGGCAGGTCCATCCTGGCCTACTGGGCTGCTGTGAGTCAGCGTTGACTCTACGGCAGTGGGCGTGGTTTTGATTTTGAGATGGGCTGAGACCATGGCCATCAGTCAAACTCCATTGGCTTTACCCAACCCAGGAGACCACAGGTGGAAAGGCCAGGCCACGTGAGGAAGCCCGAGCCTGATGGGGGGGCGTCCTCTAGACCTCCCATGTGGACATGGAGACTCACCCCATTTTCAGGCCGTGACAGAGCCCCCTCAAACGCAGCGCGCTCTGGCCCTGTGGCCACAAACCACCTCTCAGGCGAAGCTGAGTAAGCCCATAGGAACCCAGAGTCTAAGCCCACCACTCCCAGTAGACCGACTCTGGTAGACATGGAGCACCATCTGGAGATGCACCCAGTCCAAGGTGGGACTCTGCCTCTTCTGCAGGTCTGCTCTGGGGATCGCTTGGTTGTCTGCTTTCCCATTACATCTCATTGCATTCACCAAACGACCCCTAAAGGCGACCCTATCGTTTCACTGCCAGACCCTGCCTGGGTCACCACGCCGCCTTGCCCCCCGGAGCCTTAGAGCGAGTAGTACTGAGGGGGGAGGGAGGAGGAGTGGATCATAGATCATACATCACCCACTTATTCAATGCAGTTACTGAGCATAGAGCAGCTACCTAAAGCCAGGCCTTACACTGGGCAAGGCACGTGGACGGGGATTCAAGGGGAGCCAGGCACGGCCCATGTCAGGTCGGAGAGAGAGAGAAGCATTGCCAATCATCTGGCCCAACCCCCGTTTTAGGAAGGGGGAAAGTGGGTCACCGGGAGAAGTGACTTCTCCAAAGCCACACTAGTTAGTGACAGGCAGGTCCCACCCCCTGGGTCAGAGTGATGCTGTGGTCCAGGCCCTGCAGGAGAGCATCCGTGAGCGGCCCAAAGAGAACCCCCACTCTGGGGGACCCTAGCTTCTACTGGAAGGAGACGCAAGACACATTTGTGATCGCACATAAGTACATTCTGTCTGGGGCTAGGAGGTGGCAGGCGCTGGGAAGGAGAGGGCAAGTCAGGCAGGGTAAGGTGGGAGCACACCGGGAGACTTGCGGGGCTGGGTGCCAGGTAAAATCAGTGGTCAGGGTCAGCCTTGGGACTTGTCGTTGTTAGTGGCCATCAGGTTCACTCGAGCTTGTGACCCCTCGATGTGCGGGTGGCAGAACTGCCCCGCAGCGTGTCCCCAGCGGTAACTCTTCACGGAAGCAGATGGTCAAGTCTTTTGCCCAAGGAGAGACCTGTTGGCTAGCAGCTGAGCCTGAGGCTGCGCCACCAGGGATCCTCGCAGAGCACCACGTGCATCTCGAAGCGCTGCTACACCCTTCTTCTGATGTGGTCTCTGGGGACAGGCAGCTACCCCATTTCACTGATGAGGATATGGAGGGTGAGGGTCTTCCTGTTAACCGCTTACGCTCATCACAAAGCCTGAGGGCAGGGGAGGGAGGGAAGAACCCCCACAGGCTGGCAAGGGGAAGGGTGGGAGGGGGTGCTCATTCTCACACCATCCTGGAAACCAAAGGGAAGTCCCAGGGCTCCACCCTAAGGGGCAGATCTTTTAGCACTCCCCTCCCCGCTCCAGGATGGGGTTTAAAAGTCCCTGCCCGGGCTGCTGCCAGAGAAGAGCTGAAGGGGTCTGCTTGGGGCCTCTGGGAGCGAAGGGAGCAGAGACCCCAGCAGATTCAGGATGTGGGTGTCAGTGGCCGAGCCAGCCGTGGCCAGGAGTCCCCTGGCAGAGGTGAAGCTGCTGCTGGCCCTGGCAGGGGTGCTGACCATACTCGTGGCCCACCAGCCCTGTGAGGGCTCTCCTCCAGGTAATAGGCCCTCACACAGCCAAGGAGGAGACAGGGCTGATGGGGGTGGGATGAGGGAAGGTCTTGGGCATGAGGGTCCCGTGGCTCCTCTGGACACTGAGTCCTCGTGCCTCTGGGCAGCCTCCCCCAGGACAGTGGCGAGCTCAGTCCTACAGGACTGCATTGCAGAGGCCAAGCTGATGGTGGACACAGCCTACAATCGGACGCAGAGGAGGTGGGCCTGGGCTGGGGAGGATCCCTGAGCAGCTGAGCTCCAGTCAAGCCCATGGTACCACTGCCCTGCCCCAGCCACCATGGGGCCTCCGCTGGAGAGAGCTTCTCTCTGGTCCCTTTATCTGTCTGTCCCTGTCCGTCCCCGGCCTGGGGTTGCCAGGTATGTCTGCACCTGTCTCTAGCCTTCCCTTCCCTTTCTGGGCAGCATCAAGCAGCGGCTTCGCAGTGGCTCGGTCAGCCCCATGGATCTCTTGTCCTGCTTCAAGCGGCCTGTGGCGACCACCAGGAGCGTCATCCGAGCCGCTGACTGTATGCATGTGGCCTTGGGGCTGTTAGAGCAGAAGGTCCACCCTGAGGGATTCGGGTCCTTCAACGCCACTGGTACTGAGCTTCCCCGCCCAGCCCGGGACCTGCTCCAGCCAGGGAGTGATAAGAAGCCAGGGATGGAGGATTGGGAGGGACAGGGCAGCTTAGGAAAGACTCTGAGCCTCCGACCCTGCCTCTCCGCCCCTAGATGTGCTCACGGAAGCCCAGCTTCAGCTGCTGTCCAAGGTCAGCGGCTGTCATTTCCCGGTCAACGCTGAGCAGTGCAGTGACCAGTACCGCACCATCACGGGGAGATGCAACAACAAGTGGGTGATGCCAGGGGCTGTGCCCGACCCACTGGATGCCCGCCTCTCTCACCCTGCCCCCCGCCCCCCTCCATGCTGAGCCCACCTGGGTCTTGAGCCCGGCTAAGCTCAGTCCCTTTCTGCTGCAGGAAGAGGCCCTGGCTGGGATCCTCCAACAGGGCCCTGGCCCGCTGGCTGCCGGCCCAGTATGAGGACGGGCGGTCCCGCCCCTTCGGCTGGACTCCCTGCAAGAGGCTCAATGGCTTCCCTCTGCCCCTCGTGAGTCAGGGTGGTTGAGGGTCTCTTCAAACCTGGTCCAGGGTCAGGCGGGCAGGGTTCAAAGGTGATCCTGGGCATGGAATCCAGCTTTCTGAGCCTCAGCTTCTTCGTCTGTAAGATGGCAACACCACAGTAGCTATACCATCAGGCTGGAGTGACTATTAAATGAGCCGCTGGGACAAAGAACGTCAGAGAACACGGTCTACGGTGCCGGCCATGATGGCAGTAGTGTTCGTTTTCTGAGAGAATTCGTGTCAAAGCAGCTTGCTAAGTATGAAGAGCTATCGACCGTGTCTAGCTATGTCTATGGCTCCATTTAACATCATCGAGTTACGCTGTTAGTGTAGCGATCCATCTCTCTAGTGTCAAGGTGAGTTGATTCATTTTTCTTCCGCTGATCCTTCCATCCATGTATCTAGTCGTTGCTTACATACCTGTCATCCATCACCTAGCAATCCTTTAATGTATCTATCAATTCTACTTTAGAACTATCTATTAATCCATCAATTGAGCTGTTGATTTGGTCTTTTCTTCTCTCTAAAATAGTTAGTGAGGTTTGGACTAGGCCAGTGGCTCCTTAGCCTTCTTTTTATTCCCAGAATCCTCAGAACCTATCCTTCTGGGGACGACGGTCACCATCTCACTCAAACCAAACTCACTGCCAGTGAGTCGGTGCTGACCCGATTGGACAGGGCAGAACTGCCCTTGAGACGGCCACTCTCTACAGGGATGGAAGCCCCGCCTTTCTCCTACTGGTGGTTTCGAACTGCTCCCTTGCAGTCAGCAGCCCCACATGTCACCACTGTGCCACCAGGGCTTCCTGTGACAGCCACCGTGGGACCAGCTACGTCTCTAAGAGAAAGGGGGGAGGGGAGGGAGCAGCAAAGGCCTGCGCATCTCCTCCTGCAGGGGGCGCTGCACTGTCTCCTGTGTCCCGGGGGTCCTTCCCCGGGTCAGGGAGCCAGGGCTATGCTGACGTTTTTTGTCCCACCCAGGTCCGGGAGGTCTCCAACCTGATTGTGCGCTTCCCCAGTGAGAGGCTGGCCTCCGACTCGCACCGGACCCTCATGTTCATGCAGTGGGGCCAGTTCATCGACCATGACCTGGACTTCACCCCAGAGTCCCCAGCCAGAGTGGCCTTCTCGGGGGGCGTTGACTGTGAGAAGACCTGTGCTCAGCTGCCCCCCTGCTTCCCCATCAAGGTACCCCAGCTAAGCCCCCAGGGCCCAACCAGAGAGCCGGGGCTGGGGACCCCAAGTGTGGCAGCCCCATGCTCCCATCTGTCTTCGGGGTTGGGTGTCAGTCAAAGACACCAGGAGCCACTGTGCTCTGTCACCGAAGACTGGTGGTGCCAAGAGACCCGGGGCAGAGTCCTCGTTCTGTGTGGGTGTGTGGTCTGGGGTGCCAGAGTGGCACGCTCTCCCAGGAGGGGCCATGCCGGCTTCATGGAGGGCCAAGCGGGCGTCAGACGGGCCCTAACCCTTGGCAGCCTTGGGGGGTCTTTAGGATCGCTTCGCTCTGGCCCCGCTCCTCCTGCCTTCTCCCTCTCCTCACAGTGGGTTGTGAGCCTCCTCTCAGGCCGACATGAAGGGGCGGTGAGAACCCAGAAAGGCAAGAGGGAACCCAGAGTGCCACACGTCTGTTGGGAGTGAGAACACACAGTACCCAGGCACACATGCATGCACATGCACATGCATGCGCAGAGGCACACACGCGTTCAGAGGCAGGGCAGCCGTCACCAGGGAGGGCATGCGAGGGGCTCCGGGCTGAAACCTTCTGCAGTTCTCGAACCCTGCTGGGGCAGCCCTTTGGAGGAGCCTCCCAGGTCTACCCATCACACCTCTCTGTAGCTTTGGGCGTTTCTATCAAGCTTCCTCCTCCCATAAAGAGGCTCCGTCTCAGAAACCCACCGGGCAGTTCTACCCTGTCAGCATCGAGTTGAGGGCGGCGAGTGAGATAGAGCCAAACAAAAAGATAAAAAGAAGACGTCTCAATGTAGAGCCACACAACCCTGCAGAGGTCCGTGTGGTCTGAGCTGCCTGTCATCTGGGCTGGCTTTTGTGGGCCTTCCTGCTGTCCAAAGACCCTGCACAGCAAGGTCATGCCAGATGCCCAAGCACCGGGAGAAGGAGGTTCTGAACCCACCTCTCCCACTAACTACCTGTCGTTTGCCCCCTCGGAGCCCCCGTCTCCCCATCTGGAAAACGAGGCTCTAGTCTAGATCAGCTCAGAGGCCTCTTCCATCACTTGCCTTCCGTGACTCTTAAGTTTCAACCTTAAGGCGTCTTCCTGAAGGAGAGGCGTAGGGACAATGTTTTGAGGCAGGTGGGCAAGGAGGAGGAGCGAGCCCGCTGTTGAGCCCCCTCTCCCACTCCAGGTCCCGCCGAATGACCCCCGCATCAAGAACCAGAGTGACTGCATCCCTTTCTTCCGCTCGGCACCCTCCTGTCCTCAAGACAAGAACGCCGTCCGCAATCAGATCAACGCGCTCACCTCCTTCGTGGACGCCAGCATGGTGTACGGCAGCCAGGTGGACCTCGCCCTGCGGCTGCGCAACAAGACCAACCACCTGGGGCTCCTGGCCGTCAACCAACAATTCCGCGACCAGGGCCGGGACTTGCTGCCCTTCGGCAATGAGCGGCCGGACCCCTGCCTGCTCACCAACCGCTCCGCGCGCATCCCTTGCTTCCTGGCAGGTCAGACTCGGGAGCGGGGGCTGTGTCTGGGCAGTGGGGTGGGGGGTGGCTGCGTGTGGTTCTGGCCCTCAACGCTAGGCAGGCCACAGGCGTACATCTGGGTTCATCTATCACAGAATCGGCTCATGGGAAGGAGTCCCCAGATGCAGGGCCAGTTCTGCTTGCTCGACTCTCTGGTGACAGGGGACTCACCCCCTATATGTCACTGCTGTTAGTTGCCGGCAAGTCGCTGTGAACTCCTGTGACTCCATGCGTGTAGAGTTGCCGGGCAGTGACTTTGTCGGGAGCGTGTCTCTGAGTGGATTTGAACCAGGGACCTCCAGGGCGCCCCAGCAAGAAGACGTTTTCCTGGGCAGGGCTGTCGTGACCCTGCATTTGGGGTTTTCAAGGTGACTCTCGATCCAGTGAAACCCCCATGCTGGCAGCCCTGCACACCCTCTTTATGCGCGAACACAACCGCCTGGCCGCCCAGCTGAAGTGCCTGAACCCCCAGTGGACTGGGGACAAGCTGTACTATGAGGCGCGGAAGATCGTGGGGGCCATGATGCAGGTAGGGAGCTCTGGGTCTCAGCTTCACCCAGGGGACAGGTGGGGACAAGGTGTGACTCCCACCTTCCTGAATACATCCTTGAAGATGTGACTGGGGGGGTCTGTGAGATCTGACCTGTACCCCCAATTCTTCCAGAAGCTCAACTCTGGACTCAGAGCTGTGGCCCTGCCCATACCGCTTTCAGTAGCTCATCAGCCAATAGGAAAGCAACATTGGAATGGGAAATCAATGACAGGACATGAGTATTGCTACATTTGACACGAGGACAGAACATGTCATGGGTGGTCGGTCGTCTGAATAGTCCTTTGAAAAGCAAAAGACCCCAGCCAACGAGGGAGCGGGTGGGTGGCCACCAAAGTAAGGCTCCCCTCGTGTCTTCTCTTCAGATCATCACCTACAGAGATTTTCTGCCCTTGGTTCTGGGCAAGGACCGGGCCAAGAGAACGCTGGGGTCCTACAAGGGCTACTGCCCCAATGTGGACCCCCGAGTGGCCAACGTCTTCACCCTGGCCTTCCGCTTCGGCCACACCATGCTCCAGCCTTTGGTGTACCGCCTGGACAGCCGGTACCAGGCCTCGGGCCCTGGCTCCTGTGTCCCACTGAGCTCCTCCTTCTTTGCCAGCTGGCAGGTCGTGTATGAAGGTGACGGGGTTTTCCAGAGACAGGCGGGATGGGTGGACATGGGAATGGGGTCGCCCCAGGAGAACCAGGCTTTGTACCGGGAGGGCATGCTGCTTCTCAGGCCACTGATAGCCATCCCCCGGGAACAGTGAAAAAGAGGCAGGTGATCAAAGGTCTCCCACTCCTGAGGCAGCAGAGGGCTTCCAAAATGGGGGACAAGGGCAGCCTGGTGCTTGTTAAAATGGAGGGAAGGAGCCTTCCTTCTCCTCTTTCTTTAAGAAGCGGGGTTGACACTTTTCCCTGCCAGTCCCCTGTGTATCTATCTGCCCAGTCCCGTTTCCTGATTCACATAGAATACAAGCACCTAGCTCGTCCAGCTCAGAGCCCCCTAGGCTTGGCATCACGGGATGGCCCTGGCCTAATCTGTGTTCACACACCTGCCACCAGGTGGCATCGACCCTCTCCTACGCGGCCTCATGGCCACGCCTGCTAAGCTGAACCGTCAAGATTCAATGCTGGTGGGTGAGCTTCGGGACCGGTTGTTCCGGCAGGTGAAAAGGATCGGGCTGGATCTGGCGGCTCTCAACATGCAGCGCAGCCGGGACCATGGCCTCCCAGGTGAGGGAGCCCTCGGCCCCCGCTTCCATACTGAGCTCTGGGGGTGTCTCTTTTCTGGAGCTGTGCAGGCTGTGCTGAAGTTTAAGGGCACACAAGGCTGAGGTTGATAAGCCCACGAACACCTGTTTGCTGTCTGCCCACGTCTTCCCCAGTCACAGCAGGCACCCAGCTTTCTTCCATCAAAAGACCAGGATGTGGGCATAGGAGCTGACAAAAGGCAATCTGAACGTTCCCAGAAGGAAACAAATAAACAAAAAACCGCGTCCATTTCCAAGACAGGGATGAACTGCTCCATTCCCTGCCACGGGGCAAGTTGCAGGGAAAACCAAAACCGAACTCCCTGGGATCCAGTCGATATGGACTCATAGAGACCCTACAGGGCAGAGCAGAACTGCTCCCGTGAGTTCCTGAGCCTGCAGCTCGTAGGAGAGTAGAAAGGCCCATCTTTCTCCTGCAAGAGCAGCTGATGGTTTCAAACTGTTAACCTCTTGGTTAAAAGCATCAAGTGTAACCACTATGCCACCAGGGCTCCTAGATGCAAGGAGGAGGCTAAAAGTCCAGCCTTCTGACTCCTGGCTCTAAGGGAAGAAAAGCAAACCTTAGAGTCGAGAGACAGGCGGTTTGGTGAGCATCAAAATGCCCAGGAAAGAAGAAAAAGTATACTTTTTAAGCCACTGCTATGCACCAGGCTCAGCACTTTTATGAATATGAGCACATTAGGTCCTTCCATTGACCTTGAGCATTGGGCTGTTAACTGCAAGGTCAGCAGTTCAAACCCACCAGCCACTCTTCCCCAGAAGGTGAGCCTGTCTGATCCTTGAACGATTCATACTCTTGGAAACCCTGTATGGGCCACTGTGAGTCAGAATCAACTCGATGGCAGTGGGTTTGGTGTTTGGTAGGGAATAACCTGGAGAAGCAGTCTGCTTTTATAAATGAGGGGGAAAACTCAGAGACAGCATTTTTCCCAAGGTCATATAACTAGGAAGTGGTAAAATTTAAAGTCCAATCTCCCCTGTTCAATCGGCTGTAGAGGAAGCCTTCGGCCCTCCCTCGCCTCCCCTCCTGCTTCCGTGTCTACATAGCACCTGAAGCTCCACCTGCCTCAGCTGACCTTTGACCATGTATAAGGAGTTGGGGGTCAGGAAGGGAGGCTTCTTAATGCATGAAAAGGCAAAGCACACGGCTATTAAGTCAATTCTGACCCACACTGACCCTGTAGGGCAGGGTAGAAGAGCCCCTGTGAGTTCCTGAGACTGCGACACTTTATGGGATTAGAGAGCCTCGTTTCTCCTGCTGTCTGAGCTGCTTGTTTGGAACCGCCGATGTTGCGGTTAGTAGTCCAAACCACCCGGCTCCCTGCACCACAAAAGGCACTGCACAAACCTGCCCTCTGGGCCTTCATCAGGTGCTCTGCACGGCTGGGCTAAGGGCGCCCCCTGGTGGCCACTAGGCCTGCTGGCCTCCCAAAGGGCAAAACCCTGTTTTGTTCCCCTCATTATTTGCCCCTAGGAAGGGCGGATATGGGGAGGTACTACTGACATGAGTATCAGATACCCTGATGCTGCTATTTCAACCTCCTCCCATCCTTTCCCAAGCGCCAACCCAACTGTGGAATTGGAACATCAGGTTTAAACTTCATGGAGTCAGTCGTGGAGTGACCTTGGGAAAAGTCCAACTGCTCAACCTCCCGTAGAGCTGGATAGAAAATGCCCCTCAAAGGTGTTGTGAGGTTCCCGAGGAAGATGTGTGAACATGCTTAGTAAGGGTGAGGCGTTAGAAGGCTTCACTCTGCTCAGCTGAGGGGCGGTGGGACGCTTGTGGGCTGCAGTCCAGCAGAGCACACGGGCGATGTTTCTTCAGGTTAAGGCCACCCACATCACGTGACTTGGCCCTGGTGCACCAGGGCTATCAAGTTGATTCTGACTTGGCGCAATCCTATAGGACAGAGTAGAACTGCCCCGTGAGCCTCATCTTTTCCCCATGGAGCGACTGGCAGATTTGAACCACTGACCTTCTGGCTAGCAGCTCAATGCATAAGCCACTATGCCATCAGGGCTCTGGGGACCCTCACAGCTGAGAAACCAGTATGGCTGGTCTTTGGCAATCCCCATGAAATGAAAAACAAAACTAGCATACGCACAACCACCCAACAAACAGCTTTACTGGAGTATTCTCAAATCCACTTGTGCAAAGTGCACCGTGAACGCTTTTAGAATCGGTTGCAGGGATGTTCGACCATCACCATGATTGAGATCAGAACATTTTTGGCACCCCCTCTACAGAAACCTCATTTTATCACCGCCACCACCCCTAAGAAACCTCATCATTCCTCATCCCGTCCAAGACAGTCCTTCATCTCTTCTGTCTGGGGAGCCTTGCTGATGCTAGACCTCCCACACGGGCAGTCATTCTGTCTGGGGTCCTCGTCAGAGCAGGTTAACTGCTCCCAAGGGTTTCATGTGTTGGCTCGTTCGCTCACGTAACCATTCGCTCACTCACTCATTCTGCAAACCTGGAGAGCCCTTTGATGCCCTGGGCACTGTCACCTTGGTGCTTAACTGGGCACGCGGGCACAGTAATAATGCCACTACATGCCGCCACGCTTGTGGCTCTGAGTTTGGGGTCCCAACAGCTTTGCACACCAGGACGCGGTCCTCGGTTGGCTGCGCACAGTGGTGGCGCGGCGCCTGGCATCAGGCACCGGTTTGTTCCTGTCGCTCCTGTCCCTGGGGGGCAACTCCTTCCTGTGAAATGCTGCGAAATACGTTCTGCCAGAGGAAATCTGTGGAGAAGCAGGAGTCCAGGGGAACGCCGCAGGGATGAGGCTCATCGGCGCTCCCTCCCGTTTCAGGGTACAACGCCTGGAGGCGCTTCTGTGGGCTCTCTCAGCCTGGGAACTTGGCACAACTTAGCCAAGTGCTGAAAAACAAGGTTCTGGCAAGGAAGTTCCTGCGTCTGTACGGGACGCCTGACAACATAGACATCTGGATTGGGGCGATCGCAGAGCCTCTTTTGCCAGGGGCCCGCGTGGGGCCTCTTCTGGCCTGTCTTTTTGAGAAACAGTTTAGCAACCTCCGCGACGGAGACAGGTAAGCCGGGGGCCCTGCCCTACCAGAGATCAGCACCAGAGAGGCCTGGCACAAAGCACTCGGAAGCGAGGGGAGGGAGCTGATCTTCCAGCTTCATTTTTGTCTAAGACTCGGAACAGGAGGCTCCCTGGCAGGTGGTCACAGGAGGGACATCACTATCGCAGGCAAGTCTGATGTTGACGGGGCCGTGCGCCTCACCTTTCACCTAGGAGACAGAGTAGTCAGCCTGGCGATTCTAGACAAGCAGATTCCAGAAAAAAAGCATGGGCCCAGAAGGCCGCGGCTAGATCTGGCATCCCTTTCGGTGAGCGTGTGGTGTAGGAGCTAACTCCTTTGGGGCACAAACCAAGGTTAGGGAGGATGGTGCTGGACCGGACAGTGCTGAGTTGGAACCTACTTGAAGGCGCATAACCACCCCGTCCGGTTCTGGCCACTTGAATACTAGGCAGATGACTGTACCTGTCCCCCATCTATAGAATGAGAATAATACGTACAGTTCGGAATGAAATCACATCCGGTACCAGGCACACACCAGGGGCCTGTTCTAAGTGAACTCCTTCCTAACCTTCGCCCCTGTCTCTTGAATGTCTTGGCAGGTTCTGGTGGGAGAAGCAGGGTGTTTTCACCAAGAGACAGCGCACAGCTCTGCAGCAGGTCTCCCTGTCTCGGATTGTGTGTGACAACACTGGTATCACCACCATTTCCAGAGACATCTTCAGGGCCAGCACCTATCCCCGGGACTTTACAAGGTGCAGCCGCCTCCCCAGGTTGAACCTGGCGGCCTGGAAAGCCGCGAAGGCTCTGCAGGTGAGGGGAGACTTCCTCCAGCAGTCCCAGGCCATGGGGGGCGGGCGGGACAGCGGGGTCCCCTTAGGCCTCTGAGATGATAAGACCTGTCATCACTAGGGACAGAGTATACGCTCCCCTGATGGCTTCTCAGGGTGCTGGCTGCTGAGAGGCTAATCCAGGGCTTAGACTTGGGGGAACAATTAGAAACTGGCCAATGATCCTCGGCACAGGGACCCCCACACTACAGCAAGCTCCACTTGCGAACCCCAGGAGCTTTCTCGCCTGCTTTGTCTCTGCAGGAGTCCATCCCGAGCCTGTAGCCCTGGAGACAAGAGCCTGGGGAAGACCACCCAGCTCCCTTCTCCCTTGGGGCAGCTGTGTCCTGCGGATGGGCCCGCTGGCTATGGAGAAGGGGAGCTTCCACAGGGGGGCTCCTAGCAGAGGTGGACCCACCCACCTTGGGGGGCTTCTTCAGGGTTCGGTTATGACTCCATCCCAGACGCAAGGCCTTGAGACCCAGGCGAGAAGAATCCGCTGGCGAGCCTCAGCCACCATATGCCACCCGCTGGGCCCTGCCGCTGTGAGACCACGCCACAGGCCGCCCCTGGAGCCTGCAGGCTGACAATGTGTTTCCACCAGTAAAGCATTGCTGAGAGCAGAGGCTGCCTCGTTTCTGCTGGGCAGGGGTGGGTGTGGCCGCCCCGTGTTCAAGCTGGCATCCGACTTCAAGCCTCTCCTTGGGGCAGAATCCAGGGAGCAGGGAGAAACACCAGGGTAGGGCAGAGTGGAGAAGGGAAACGGCAGACGCCCTGGGGCCCGACATTAAGGACCACACCTCGGCCTTGCTAGCAACCTGAGACGCAGTCGGCAGAACAGCAGTCACTATTTTTTTCCTTAATGATTTTTTTTTAAGTACAACAAAATTCAATAAAAATACCCCCCTGCTGGCAGAACGAGCTGGGGGCACTGCCTTCAGGCCTCAGTGCCTCCAGGAGCGAGCTGGGACTCAAGCTCAACAAGCCCGCACAGTAGCAACTGGCTACCCGAAAAGGGCGCCATGCAGGTGCTGGCCTGGGGATGTGCCAGTTCTTGGGGTTCTCAGCAAGTAAGAATGGGCTCCAGGAGGGCGGACGGAAAGTCCAAGGAGCGCTGGCCTGGGAGCTCGCCAGTCTTGTCCTCTTGGCCCGGGAGCTAGGAGCCCGTGGTTCCCGAGGGGCTCGCTAGGTCCTGGGGAAGGGTCTCTCGGGCCTCCTGCATGCGGCGCCGGGCCCGGTAGAAGGCCTCTGCAATGGAAGCAGAGCCCGTTGTCAGCTGCGCTGGTGGGGCAGGCGCACGGCCTGCGCTGCCCCTGGGGCCGACCGGGAGGTCGGGGAGCCTACCCAGCACACTGTGGATGGAGCTCTGCTGGCTGAACCCCTCTAGGCGGTCCAGCACACTCCGCACCCTTCTCCGGAGGGAGCTCGCCTCCATGAAGGCCCTGCAGGGGTGGGGGGGCAGCATGCGGTCACGTGGTCAAGGGTGCTCCCAGCCCCCCAGGGGGTCCGGGGCAGTGGGCCTGAGCCGCCCACCTGGACTGCTGTAGACAGTGGAGGCGGAAGGTGACGCTGCCGGTGGTCTCTGTGCGGAAGCCGAAGCGGCTCAGGCGCTCACCCTGTGGGAGCAGTTGTGACAACATTGGGTTCCCTGGCCCCTTGGCCAGGGGCACCCTGCTGGGCCCGCTCCGTTTTTATCCCTGTTCTTGGGGAGATCGGCCATGGGGAAACTGCATTCCATCACCCAGACCCCTTCACGTCAGGGCTAAAATCTGGCTCCCAGCTCAACAGCAGGGATGATTCTGTCCAGGCTGAGAGTCAGCTTATCTGACAAGCTTCCAGACAATTCTCCTCATGGCCACCGCTGGCCCGGGCCACAGTGACGGCATGGACGCTCGATGGAAGCAACAGGAAGTATCTAAGTATAGCTTCCAGAGCTCCCCTAGCACAGGTAGACCCTTGCAGGCACCACCAGTTGTGACCAAGGTAAGCCGCAGGAAGGGGGGGGCGGGTTTGGTGGGGAGGAACTAAGCAAGACTGCAGTGAGGAACATCTCAGCCCGGGTGCCACCCCACCTGCTACAGCACAGAAGACAGGCATGAATATTCCTGGCCAGGCGTCTCCCAGAGACGCCGGTCACCTGAAAGGTTCCTGGTATCCGCACGTAGGCGAGGTCCTCCAGCTCCAGAGAGCCACCGAGGAAAAACCTCCTCATCTCAGCCCTCGTCCCCAGCTCCATGGGTCTCCACGTGGACACTGTCAGGGTGTGGGAGCCTGCGTAAGGGGAGAGGGAAGCGGGGCAGGTCCTACCTGAGCGAGAGGGCACCTGGTCCTCACTGGCCCCAAGGCCAAGCCGCACACTAAACCCAGGCCGTGGCTGCGCAGTGGAATCTGACTCCCAGCATCCTGCCAGGCAGAGCACACCCGCCCGCCTGCAGCGTGTCCAGGGCTGCAGGTCTTTACAGAGGCAGGCCACCACGCCTTTCTCCCAAGAAGTGGCTTCCGGTTTAAACTGCTTCTGATTCCTAATGATCTGTTCTCATCTGAGCCCTGGTGGCGCAGTGGTTACGAGTTGGACTGCTAACCGTGAGTTTGGCAGTTCAAAACCACCAGCTGCTCCCCAGGAGAAAAAGGAGGCTTTCTACTGCTGTAAAGTTACAGTCACGGGAACCTTCACGGGCAGCTCTGCCCTGTCCTCGAGGGTCACTCTGGGTCTGAATTCACTCAGTGGAAGCGACTGCTGTCTTCTCATCTGAAGTCCTCAAGCCCTGTGGAAGTTCCCAAGGCCTAGGGCCTGTGGCCCCAGGAAGGGCAGAGGCAAGGGGTTACCTGGGGTGGCAGGCAGCATCAGGGCCCCATAGCCTTCCACCCGATACCTCTTCCAGAAGTCCAGTGAGAGGACCTCGCAGTAGAGCGCAGGCCACTCCGGGAGAGCCTCTGGGGGCAAGGGAGAAGCGGCCAGTCAGAGCAGAGGCGGGGTGGGGTGGGGTAGGAGGAGTGCCAGGCCGCGGCCCACTCACCAGCACTCGTGTCCTCGTGGAGGAAGGAGGCCTCGAACGTGAACGGGTAGGAGAAACACGCCACCTTGTCCTGCAGGGGAGGGGGCTGCTGATACCTGGTGTCATGCGGCACCACGAGGTCCCCGTCATAGGGGACAACGGACAATCCAGCCCGGGAGGAAGTAAGAGGATGAGAAGGGAAGACGCTGCTGCCGTCCTCCAAAAAGGCAGGGCGGCCCCTGGACCAGGCAGGAACCACATGGAAGGGTAGGCCCGACTCAGGGGGCCTTCTTAGAGCCCATGGTGGCCACAGAAAGCTTCAGGTGCCCACCCTTGCCTCCCCACCAGGAGATTCCCCGTGCCGCTCACGGGCCATACCATTCCCAGGGACTTGGTCGCACAGGTCTGTGTTATTCCTGAAAGCTGCTGGGATGCTGGGCTCGACCAGTCTGCGAGGCAAAGACAGCCCACCCCCCCCCATAGTAAGTTCAGCTGAGACAAGGCAAGCAGCTGAGAAGAAGGCAAAGTGCCTTTGCTCATTCGGTGCACCTTTACTGAGGTTCTACTGCGCCCTGTGACCAGGCATCGGGGTACCCTGGTGATCAGATAGGCAAGATCCCTGTGTCTGGTGGAGCGCACATTCTGGAGGGCAAGACAGACGACAACGAAGCCAACAGGAAACTATCACATCATGATGAATAAAAACAAACAAAAATCCCCTCACTGCCCTCGGGCCCATTCTGGCTCACGTCCACCCTACCGGACACAGCAGCACTGCCCTCGAGGTTTCCAAGACTGTGGCTCTTTACGGGAGTAGAAAGCCTCATCTTTCTCCCGCAGAGCGGCTGGTGGTTTCGAACATCTGACCTTGCACTTAGCAGCCCCACTCATAAGCATTGCACCACCAGGGCTCCGGCAGTGATGTATGCTGACTTGAAAGGCGGGGCCCAAAGGCGGGGAGAAAAATCATATCCTCATCATTGAGGGTGGCGCGTGATGGGGACCCAATGTCCATCTCTAGACAACTGGACATACCTTGCAGAGGGGTAGTGGGGAGATGAGTCACTTAGGGTACAGTATAGCAATAATGAAACCCACAACCTTCCTCTAGTTCTTAAACGCTTCCTCCCCCCAACTACCAGGGCCCCAATTCTGCCTTGCAGACCTTGCTAGACCAGATGATGCACAGCGGTACAGATGGGAATTGGAAACGCAGGGAATCTAGGACAGATGAACCTCTCAGGACCAGGGGTGACAGTGGTGATACCAGGAGGGAAGGGGGTGTAGAAAGGGGGAATTGATCACAGGGAGCTACATATAACCTCCTCTCTGGGGGACGGGCAGCAGAGGGGTGGGTGAAGGGAGACGCCGGGCAGTGTAATATAAGACATAATAATAATTTATAAATTATCAAGGGTGCATGGGGGAGGGGGCAGAGGAAGGGAGGGGAGGGGGGGAAAGGAAAATGAGCTGATTCCGGGAACCCAAGAGGCAAGCGGAATTTTGGGAATGATGAGGACAACAATGTATAGATGTGCTTTACACAATTGATCCATGTATTGTGATGAATTGTATGAGCCCCAATAAATTGATTTAAAAAAATGAGGGGGGCTGCAGAGATTCAGTGACGTGGGACAATCATCTGATTGGGTGGTCAGAGGAGATCTCTGAGAGGTGGCACTTAAAAGCGAACTGAAACTCAAGGGAGATATTTACAAAAATCCGGCGAACAGGGAAGGGTGCTGCAGCGGCCCTTAGGTGGGACAGAGGTGGCATGCTTAACACTCGAACACGTGGCTGCACTGTTGTCAAGAGAGCTAGATGGGGCCAACTTAGCCGGGTGGGGACTCTGGATTCGACTCTAAGGGAGGATGAAGCTCTTGGAGGGCTTAAGTCCAAGCGGCACAGCTAGTTAACACGGTTACAAGTGACCCTTGGCTATGAGGGATGCGGCAGATGAGCTGTGCAGGGAAGCGAGAGGGTGGGTCAGGAATTCAGTGCACTGGTCCCAGGAGGAGATGGTGGTGGCCTGGCCCTGGGCGCGAGGGAGGACAGGCAGGTTTGGAAGACTCGGCTGACGGGAGTGCTGGTGGAGTGACTGGCTGGACGGGGCTCTAGAGAGAGCGAGGCATCGAGGAAGACCGTCTCCTGGGGTGTGGTAGCAGCAACTAAGAGGGTGATGTTACTCTACGCTAAGATAGGAAGAGCGGAGGGGGAGTGTCTGGGGAGAGAGGGAGTCCAGAGTTCTTCCTAGTCATGTGAAACAGATGCCACTAGCTGAGTCTGGAGTTCAGGGAAGAGGTCAAGGCTGAGGCGGAAATCTGGGTGTGGAGACCAATGCGTTTAACGCCACGGGACCACAGACTCACTCGGGAAGACTGTGCAGGGAGAGCCGTGGAAGACTAGGCTCAGTCTTGCGTGTGCACATGTTTTAAGCTCCCCAGAAGAGGAGGACTCAGCCAAGGACCCCAGTAAGCCACCAGGGATATGAGCGGAGAGAGAAGTGTAGAGCCTGCGGGCAAGAGTGGCGTTTCAAAGAAGCCAAGGGAGCTGCAGCCCACGCTTCTCGGAGGTCAAGCGAGGGGAGAGCAGGGGAGCCCCCGTGGGCTGAGCAACAGGAGTGACATATGACCTTGAGCGGAGCAGGGCAATTCACTGGAGGGGTGGGGGGAAGGACTCGGGGGTGCAGGGAAGGAAGCTTGGCTGAATGCCTCTGGATAGCCATCAGAAAAGGCCCAGACCCAGATGTCTGTGAACCGTACTTACTAGCTGGCAGATCCACAAAGAAGTGGACGTAGAGATTGTCATACTCATAACCTTGGGCTGAGACTGAGAGAGAGAGCAGGAAATGATTTCAGCATATTCCCCCGCAGCCCCGAGCACCCAACCCAGTCCTGAGGAGCCTACTGGCCCCTGAGAGCCAGTCCCTCAGGGCCAGCACCCCTCCATACTTCCAGGACGAAGTCATCACCGTGATTCCCCTGCGGTGCAGGCAGCCCGTGGCCTCCGCCCGCCAGGGCTCAGCTCCAGCTGAGCGGCCTGTCTGCCAAGACACTTACCGACCTCTCCATTCACAAAGAGCCGGAGCACCCCTGGGGCAGTCTAGGTGGAGAGAAAGGGGGAGGAGGGGCGGAGATCAGGAAGTCTGGGGGGAATCAGCTCACCTCCGCTGGCGCTGGCCGGTTCACAAAGCCAAGGCCTGACACCGGACACACCCTGGCTCCTTCCTACTGCACCCACCCTTCCACCTGGCCTTTTCGCTTCTCAAAACCACAGAGTACGAAAACAGGACTGTTAACACCTTCAAGTCTGTGCTGGCTCATAGCTACCCGGTAGAACTGCCCCTTTGGCTGTAAATTTCCAAGGCTGGAAAGCTTACGGGAGCAGAAAACCTCGTCTTTCTCCAGCGAAGCGGATGGTGGCTTTGAACTGCTGACCTAGTGGCTAGCAGTCCAATGTGTAACCCATATGTCACCGCCGTTCCAAGCACAATGAAAATCAGAACGGGGATTTTATAAGACTGGCCAAGTAGTAACAACAGCTACCTGTTGGAGCACAGGAGAATGCTGATAACCCCTATTCCCTTTAGCTAAATGGCCAAGGCCAAGAAACCCGGTGTTCCTCCTTTTATAATTACTCCTCACTCTGTCTTAACTGTTTACGTCTGAACATTGGTTATCAATGCAAAAGCACTAAAGGTTCGTTGTTGTTTTTTTACAGAGAGAGACCAGCGAGTAATTCGATCCTCGTTTCCAGATCTAACAGTGGCACTTCTGGAACGGAGGGAGATAAGGAGGGGGCCATAGAGTAACGGGCCTACGCGGTGCTGTTTGGTAAGAGCCAACATCCCTGACCAATCGTCCACGGGAAGCCGGAGGAAGGCAGGCGCTTTCTCATCTCTTTCAAATGAAAGGTAAAGTACTGCCTGACTGCGTCACCACTGACAGCAATAAACGGACAAATACAACAGCCTAGTCTGGAGAATAGAAATGCTCTAAACCCACCCCACCCCCTTTCACAACTAGAACCCCCTGCCACTTCCCCAGAGGACAGTCCCCATGAGCAGGCCCGAGTGCTCAGACCTTTTCTGGGCGGCCAACAGGTCTTGACCAGTATGCAACACTGAAACCCCATTAGCAGGAACTGTCCTCTAGCAGGAACTGTCCACGCCTGTGTTGCCCTGAAGTGTATCGCTCACCCCCGGCCAGAAAGCTCTGACCACACACAGCTCACAGGCGGCGGGAAGCCACGCGACTCACCGTCTCAAAGTCAGTGCCCACGAGGCTGCTCAGGTACTCCTTGTGCCGGCTGTAGAGCTGAGGGAACAAACCGGATCAAAACTCAAGGTGCGGGCCAAGCCTGTCCACTCCTGACTGGTCTGGAGGAGAGCGGCAGCCATGGGGAAGGCCGCAGAGAGAGCTGGGGACGGAAGCCCCACCCCCCACCCCCGTGACTGGCGTTCTAAAGGGAAGGGCAGAGACACGGAAGCCCACCTGGCTTCTCCATCTCGGCTGCCTCATTCCACCATCCTCCTCATTCCCCTGACCCTCCACCTGCTTTCTCTGGCAGCTTTGTTGGCATGTGATTCACATACCATGTCATTGTAATGGCTTCACCATATTAAGAAGGCTTGGGCCACAATCCTTTGGAGAACATTTCCTTCATTCGTGCACCCATTAGGATGGGCTCCTTGTGACATCCCCCACCCCCAACCTCTTCCACCATGACCCCACGGGTTACGTCTCTATGGATTACCCAGCCTGGGTTTCCTATAAAGAAAAGCACACCCCCAAAACCAACAGCGACCACAAAACAAAACACAGGGAGAACCTCAATTCAAAAGAAAGCAGAAGATAAGAGAAACCAGAACAAACGAAAAATGGGACAAAAGGGTAAACAAATGATAGGTTGTTCGTTCATTTGCCTCCTTCATAAGCGGGCAATAACTATATCTGCCTCACAGGGCTGTTGTCGGGGCTAAATGAGACACGTCTGTGTCGCTCCCAGAACAGAGCACAAGAAACACTGGGCGTGTGGTAGTGTGGACAAGACCCTGCTGCCTGATAGGTCGGCAACGCTGCCTCGGACGGGAGAGGGCTGTGAAGAGCCAGCGCTTCCTCAGTAACTGCTGGCACCAACCCCGACACAGCCTCGGCTCCCAGGAGCAGGCTCAGCCCCTCGGTGCTGGGGAGAACCAGCGCTTACGTCCTTGAGCACACGCTGTTCCCGCGCCGCCTCCTCCGGCTGTGCGAGCGAGGACACGTCGTCGATCGTGTACTTCCACAGCTCCTGCTTCTCCCCGTCCCTCTCGATTCTGTAAGGTCAGTGCCACCAAAGGCCCCACTCGGATCACGAGGTGGGGGCTTCTTCCAGACCCTGCCAACACTGCTCATGCACCTCACATGACGCATAGGAGGATTAGACGGCTCTGAGGAGGACCAGGCGCAGGAAGGCCAAAGCTGGAAGGGCTAGACTGGGCGTGTGTGGGGCCCGGTCCCTCTCTGCATCCCGGTCCCCTGAAACCATACAGCACAGCATCCCGGTGCCCAGTTCTCCCACCTGAGGAATGGGCAGCTTGGTCTCAGTCAAGGGCCAGCACACTTCTGAGATGCAAGAGCCGATCCTGTCCCTCCCAACAACTTACAAATGATCTGAGAGCCATAGATACAGTTTTACAAACACATGAAATCACCATGATCTGAATAATAGTCTTAAAATATTTTTCAAGTTCACTTCTGAGCCACATGTACGTACTGAAAGAGCCCCATCTCCTTCTCGAGCTGCAGTTTACCGACCCCTGGTCTAGAGGGCTCCTACTGGGCAGCTCTGCTATCCTAAGACAGGGGATGAGGCATGCCAGAGGAAGAGACCAAGTGCAAGTTCATGCACCCCTGGTCTGCTCAGCCCCTCTACTCAACAGCTCAGAGAACAAGTTCCCCTGAAGCGCACGCTGAAGTTGGCCCTTCCTGTGAGGTGAGTGCACATTCCCTGAGAGGAGGGTCCCCAGCTTGCAAGGGTCAATGACCCAGAATAGAATTTGCATGATGAAGGGGTTTGCAAAGAGCTCCTCTCCTAGGAGCAAGAAGTGCAGCCAAAGGAAGGGATGGCAGTGCCCACTGCCCTTTCCCAGGCCTTTCCTCCGTCTCCTCACCTGTAGGGTCCTTTGAGGCCGGTGAAGTCGGGCTTTACTGTGATCACGCCATTACTGTCCACCTTCAAAGTACACAGGACCTGTTCGTACTTCTTAAAGCCCAGTCTAGAAGGCAAGAGGCCAACAGTAAGGTTCAGACGCCCATGGGGTGGAGGAAGGGGTCGTCAGTCCGCATCTGGGGAGGTCCCATATTAGGAGTAACACTTGTCAGGGTAGAATGAGTTCTTCCAACTAGGAAGAAAAGTCCTCTCCAGGGCTCGGTGATGGCTGCAGCAGGAGGTGGGTGGGGGTGAGAAGGGAGGGGTCTGAGGACCTGAACGCCCGAGGATGCTTCACTCACTTCCCATAGGGCCCCAGGTCTGCCATGATGTACATCGTCTGGAGAGGGCTGCTGATGGCATGGCTGTTTCTGATGAACTCCTCGGATGGGTCCCAGGTGACGATGCGGGATTTGAGGATGCTGCCCTCCCTGGGAAGCATCATGGGAAGAGTCACCTCCCTGGCACCCCCTGGAGAGCCAGCGTGGGGAACACAAGGGAGCTCGCACCCAGCGGAGGCCCACTCCGGAACGGGAGGCCTCAGTCGTGGACAGAGTGAGGAGACACCCCCTGCCCGCCCACATCCACCTGCACTCACGTCCCTCGCCGGTCCTGCCGCCGCCGGCGGACATTGGCCATGCGTTCCACCAAGAATGATGGCACCTCGCTGGTGGCAGTGGTCATTTTCTGACAGTGCTGAGGAAACAGGGCAGCCCCGCGTGACCCATTTGATCGGGGCCACAGGGAGCCAAGGGGCTTCCAGAGGGATTTCACTCATTGTGACCCGGACACCCAGGTCTCGGCACCTCAGACCCACATTTGCTCACAGAGGGGAGCAGTGGCCCAGCAACCCCAAGGACCTTCCTCTAGGGCGGGTCTGCTCTGCTGAAATGACGCTGACATTGAAGCCGGAGTACCTGCTCTGAGCGCACAGCAGGAGAAAGCTGGCTGGGGGCCAATGGGAGAAAGGTATTTTCTGGAAAACCCTCACATGGTTAACAGAGCATTTTCCGTGGCTTTTCCAAGACATCCAGCCAGATTCTACATGCCATCAACGCCCAGCTCTCACAGCAAAAGCAGGCAATCTTTCAAAACCTGCCACTCCATGCTGCTCTTTGCAGAGATATTAAAGGTCACAGAGAAACACCAGAAAATGAATCCCTGACCCTCGGAGCTTAAAATCTCCCTACAATATAGCATACCACGCTGTGACCCACCCACAGGGGTTCTGTTCACATGGGCACAAGGCAGACGTAAGCTGTTCCCCACAGCTGAAATCAACCTCCCTCCAAGCCCACACACTCAGAGATCTGACTGAATACACGTGCAGATTTGTATCTGGATTTTTCCAGACTGGATTCGCCAGTCACCTCGTGATTCAAGGGCAAGTCAAGCCCAGCAGTTGCTGCTTCCAGCCGGGAGTCTGCAAGGCTCTCTTTAGGGACACTGGTCACTGCCTGTTCTCCAAGGCCCTCCAACAGGGAGAGCAGTCCCACCACCGCGGACTGTGCCCCTCCACTCCACACAGGTGCTTCTGGGGAGACCCTTGTCCCGTGAATAGGCATCTGGGCCCACTGAAGCGCAAAGGCGTGGAGGCAAAGGACAAGGAGGGCGCTATGGACAGGAGCTCAGCAAGAACACTACCTCTTCCAGGTTGGTGTATCGATCAGAGTCGGTATAGGTGAAGATTCGCCGGTTCTTCCTGCCCCCCGAATCTTCCAGCTTCAGGATCTCTGCACGGTACTGATGATCCAAAGGGCTCTGACAGGTTTCTTCATTCTGATACAGGTCGACCTCAAACTGAGGTGGCCGCAGAGAAACGGGGCTCTACTGAGGACGCTGTGAACATCCGTTCCTAGAGCAGCCCAGTCACAAGTCCTCCCCACAGAATAGAGACTCATTAACTAGCTCTCGTGTTCCTAAGCTGAAGGAGGGTGGGGGGTGGGGGTCCCCCACAATTCTACCACTACAGATACGTGTGGCCCAGGGAAGAACGGCAGCCCAGGTAATAAAACTCAGTGGCAGTCACGATCTGACCCAAGTCCACTGGAACCCAACGCACAGGTGCTGTTCACGACGTTGGGGAGGTTCACCATGCCCTGTCAAGTCCATCCTTGCTCCCCATGCCCGGGAAGTCCAGCACCCGCTCTGGGAATCAGTTTGGCAACATGGATCAAAACATTTCCAAGCATTATGACCCAGTTATTGCACTTCCACGGATCTGATTTGAGAAAACCATCCGTGAGTCACAGGAAACTTGAGACAAAGCAGCCTGTTGGAATACCATTTAGGATCAGGGGCCTATCAGCAAAGGCCTGGCCTGAGGAGCCCTGCAGGCAGCAGCCTCGTCCAGAGATGGGGGCCTCTCCCCGCTGCCAGCCAAGTGGAGATGGGCCAGGAGGAAGATGACCAAGAGGGGCCCCTGGCTCACCTGGCTAAAGAGCTTCTCCTGCCACCCGATGACAATCTCCTCCTCTTCATCTTCATCTGGGCGGTGTCCACCTCCAAAGACAAGAGTGAGTCAGCTGCTTGAGCCAAACCAGGGCCAAAGCCTCTGCGCCCATCGTGGCCACAAAGCTACTGGGCGTGCAGCGACTTAACAAGGACTCACTGTGACAGAAACCAGGGAGGCTGCATAGGTGCTGGTCAGTATGTGAAGAGACCAGGATTAGACCCCAAGAAGTGGTCGCTACTACTCTAATTGGAATAAAAGGCGGTCTGGGGTCTGGGAATTAATAAACCTAAGTCAAGAGGAAAGTGAATTTTGAGAATGATGAGGGCAACAAATGTATAAGTGTGCTTTACACGATTGATGTATGTATGGATTGTGATGAATTGTATGAGCCCCAATAAAATAATTTTTAAAAAATAATAAAAATAAACCCAAGTCAGTGTTAGGGAGTGGAAACGTTGTTATTAGCTGAAGGGTCCTTCCTCAATCTCAATGGCCAGCATTTGCTACAGAGAAATCTTGATAGGATGGACTTAGACGGATAAGCTCTATAACATCATGAGACAAAAGAGAGGAAAATCAAAGACATTGTTATTTTTTAAAGGCTAACTTGAAGAGTTAGTTTTGAACAAAGCAGAGTGACTAGTAAGCGGCCACAAGCTCACTCACCTCTGCCCTCACTTTCTGGGCTTCCCAGGCAAGAGAAACCCCAAGAGCAGTTACTGTGGATGGGCACGCTTTTCTAGCAGCCCCCGGCTTTAAAAGAGCTTCAGCGAGCACTCCTACAAGTGTTCAGACTCCTCCCTAGGATCTCCAGGGCTGGACAGCTTTCTGGAAACAGGCAGCCCTCACCAATCTCCCACACAGCAGCTAGACGGTTCCAACTGCTGACCTTGTGGTTAGCGGCCCAGTGTGTAAGCCACAGCAAGGCCAGCTGACAGTGGACGATAGAGCCAAGGGGCTGATAAAGCCTCAGGGCAAGCAGGCTTAAGAGTAAAATTAAAGAAAAGGCTAGAGGTCAACAATACTCACAGGCAGTACAGGGCTGATGGAGGATGCCAACGGATGATTGGATTGTTTTGTTTAGTTAAGGCTTTGGGTGAAAACGACAGAGGGATGAAGACACGAGGGAGGGAGAGGGAAACGTATGCTCAGAAGAGATGGAAGGGCTCAGACTAAAACCACAAGAGAAGAGCGAACAAATAGCCAAGGTTAGCAGTTCAAAACCACCAGCCACTCCCTGGGAGAAAGATTAGTCTCCCATAAAGAATAGTCTCAGAAACCTACAGCGACAGGTCTACTCTGTCCTACAGGGTCACTATGAGTCAGGATCAACTTTATGGCACTGAATTTTTCGCCTGGGGGTCAGGGCGTGTGTGTGTGTGTGTGTGTGTGTGTGTGTGTGTGTGTGTGTGTGTTCGCGCCACAAGTAGTCTAGGTTGCCAGGCAAATCTATAACACATTGAGTAAAGAATTCGGACATTATCACGTCTTAGGCAGCGGAGAAAAGTGCCTGGGTTCAAATACTGGCCCCGGCGTTTGCCAGCCGCAGGCCTGGCCCGAGGAGCGCGCCTCTCTAGGCCTTAGGTGCTTCATCTGCAAAAAGGCTGCTGTGAAGAAGTGGACGTGGGTTTCCTTGGTCTTCCGAGGTCACCAAACCTACAGGGCGCTTCCACCCACTTCCATAGGGTCCCAGGGTCAGCATCGCCTGGGTGGCAGTGGGTTTGGTTTGGGTTTTGGAAGCGCTAACTCCATGCTCCCAAGCTCTTGGCCCGGTCGGTCCTGGGCGCCGCATCTCCCTCAGAACACCCACTGGCAGTTGGCTGAGGCCTAAACGTGGCCAAGTCGATGAGGTCCTTCCCGGGCTGGGCGGCCGGCTGGCAATGCAGGAAGTTGCTCGATGTGATCCTTTGCAGGTGGACGCTGTCAGGGAGAGACGGCCAAGGTACGGGTTAGCATCCACGCATCCGGAGCAAACGAACGCAAGGGGGGGGCTGCCAAGAACGAGGGGCGCTGTGAGGCTCGGGGTGCCGAGGGGACAACCGGAGGGGAGGGGATGATGTACTGGGGACCAGGGATCTGGTGGCACGGCGCCAGAGAGGGCTCGGGTGCGTCTGGGGCGCGTGCGCGGGCACGCGGGGGAGACCGGGGAGGATGGGGTGTGGGCCTCGGACACCGAGGGGTGCGGGCTCGGCTGCTCGGAGGGGGTGAAGGCACGGGCCCCCGGGCTGGGCGGTGCTATTACCGGAGGCGCAAGTTGCACACGGGGTCCCGGGAGCGGTACACGGCCTCCCCGGTGTCCGGGCTGCAGACGGCCGCCGCCATGACGACTGTGCCGCGCCGCGACCACGACGCCGGAAAGCGCGGCGCCCCGTTCCCATGGCAACCGGGACGCCGGGCCCGGGGCCGCCGGCCGCGCCCCTGCGGATCGCCTGAACAGGGCCGTCGGTTGCCCAGTGCGAACACAGGTTCCGCATCCGGCGGGGCTGGGTGCATCGACAAAGGCCGTCAGCCCCGTTTCTTAGGAATGAAGAAGCGATGCTGGGGATGCGGCCCCGGGGACCCTCTGCACCACCCTGCCTCCTCGGCAGCCACGCCGGAACGCCCGCACTCTCCCAAAGGCCACGGGAGGGTGGTGGCACCTAGCCACACGGACGCCTCTTCTTGGGAGAAGAGCCCTGCCCAGAGATTCATTCATCGCTGGGTTGGTTTTCACTGACCGAGACAAAGAAAAACAAGGACCTCAGTAGGCAAGAATAGATGCCATTCTCCAATGGGTTCTTCCTGGTGTGCTTAGAAAAAGTGGTGTTCCTTCTCAAAAGCTAATGAAGTGTCATTCAGAAGTCATGCACCTTTGGACTATCAAATAAGGCAGGACGTGCCCTGGCCTTCAGTTTCCTTCCCTGGAACCTTGGGGAAGTCAACATTGGACACCTGCTAACAGAGTAAGTAATTGTCCCCGGACTCAGCAGTCTCATGCCACCAGGACCCTGGCTGGCATAGCCGCTGTTGTGTAAACACCAAGAGCTCACCGTAATAACAGCGCCCTTTAGCTCGGACTGAGCAGCTTTGGAAAGGGAGCGCAGATGGTGCGGGGTGTTGAGTGCTGCACTGCGCCCTGCAGGTTCCAGCCACCCCCACCCCCCCAACAAGAGAAGGACGAGGCTGTCTGCCAAGGCAAAGATTTAGTCTCAAAAACCCTTTGGTCACAGGTAGGCAGGCAGAATCCACTTTGTGCCCCCGCTGAGCAAAGTGGATTTGCTTCCTTAAAATTCCAACCTGAAAGCTGACCTGCTGCGGCCGAGTAGATTCCGATTCACAGCAGCCCCACAGGACAAGGGAATACTGCCCCCACAGGGTTTCCCAGGCTGGCAGCTTCCAGGGAGCAGATTGCCCCATCTTTCACCCAGAGTTGGTGGCTTCGAGCCACCCACTTTTCAGTTAGCAGCCAAGCATTTCACTACGGCACCAACAAGAGCTCCTTTCTTGGAGATGAAAATCTCACACTTTTCACTGCCAAGTCAATTCCAACTCACAGGTAGCCTAGAGGTCAAAACAGAATTGCCCCCGTGAACTTTCCAAGGCTGTATGTTTGTTTGGAAGACTGTCGAATCTTCCTCCCACTGGGCAGCTAGTGGGCTTGAACTACTTAACAAGTGAGCGTGTGACCACACCTCTCTTTCTTTAAGATCACAGCTATTAGGAACTTTATGGAGTGCAGTTGACTTGGAAACACATGGCATTGCCAGGGGTGGAATAGACTCAGCCAGAGGATGACAAGTCACAGAGCTCGCCCTTGGTTCGCATTGTTCCTTTGCAAGGTGTTCTCTGAGAAACTCCTCAAGCAGGTATTGTTCGCACTTAGCAGATGGAGTTAGTGAGGGCTTGCTCCGATGGAGCCACTGGTCAATGGTAAAGGAGCTGACCCTCGAACTCAGATTTGTCTGACTTCTGAGGTCTGACACCTTCCGCTGTATCACCGCCTCTCTCCGTTGGTTCTTTCCAAAAATGAAGTTTTCAATCTGGAAATAATGTTTTCAATAGATGATATGCTTAACTACTGTGCCACCAGAGTGTCTTACAATAATGGAAATACAAGCGC